CAAAACGATCATATCTACTGGCTCTAAATGATCGCAGATATTATTGCTGACGGACGCTGCAGTTCGGGAGATGCGGCAGACTAAACGCTTCCTTTCACTTTCATTTTTAATTTCTCTTTTACATTGTTGCAGGTGCGGGGTCGAGTCCTAATGAACTATAGTCATATGAGCAGTATAATAAATAACTCTATAAATAACTGTAGTTATATACATGTAACTGTAGTCTATAATAAATAACTATAGGCTATATATTAACACTCAATCCGAGAGAAAATAATCAAATTAGACATAAATCAAGAGTGAACTGATTTGCTCTAGCAGCCATGTGTTACTAGTAAAACCACAGCAACCATGTTTTTTTTGACAGATTTTAATGCAAATACCATAGTTGAACTATAGTTGCTGTAAAACAATGGTTAACATTTGGCCCACAAGTAGATTTGGCATGGTTGATTTTCTTCACTACCATTAGTAAAAATTAACACGTTCAAACCACCTGTTATTTTTAGCATTTAACAGATGGGCATGAACAGTCCATTTAAAATTATTGTGCTTGATTTATTTTACAGGCTATAGCATTTATTTCAATAGTAATACAAATAATAATAAGAAGAATAGCCTAATAATGTTTATTTATTTATTTGTTACAGAACAAAGGTGACCTCAAAAATAATAATTTCTAAATCTGTTGTAAACAAAAGTTCCCTTTCAGTCAGTCACTACGAGTCACGTTGTGACTGACAAATTGGGATCTCGCTTAGAGAGACCAATCTACTTCGAATGTAAACTAAACGAGCCAATGCACATTGGCATGCAATTATTGCATTCAGCTGCCGCTGATCACAGCGTGAGCATTAAAAGGCAGCAGGTGCAACGCATACCAGCTTTTCACTTCGGAGCTGAGTGACAACATTGTTCTGCTCCTACCAAACTGCTTCATGAGTGATGAGTTCAGCACGCTCTAGGGAGCTTCTTGTGTTGGCGGACGGCGCTTCAGCGGTGGTCGTTCCTGTGTCGAGTGGGTTGCGCACTTCAGGCTGTACTACCCCCTGTCGTGCTGCAAACGGCCATTTCCCCTGTGCGTCTCAGCACCTAAAAGAGCATTTCCCTGAAAGAGCCTATTTCTCTAAAAGAGCTTACACGGGTGCGTCTTTGTAAAGACGATGAATCGTCTTTTTAAAGATGCCGTTTCACCCGTGCGTTTCTGGATGCGGTCATTACCTGGTGCCGGGTGATGGTCACGATCGCTGCCTCACATGTCTGGGCATTAAACAAGCTGAGGTGGCGTTCGCGGATGAGTCATGTTCCCATTGCGGGAAGATGACCATCTCGGAGCTGCGGGCCAGGCTCCGTTTCCTCCAGGGGGGCAGAGCTCCGCGATCTAGTGTTCGTCCTCAAACCAGCCGTGCTACTTCTGGAAGTAGCCCTCACCTGGCAAGTAGCACGGCTGGTTTGAGGGTTACAGCGGTGGCAAACCCCTCAGGGAACTAACCCTCGGGGGACCATCGCTCCTCTAGCGCTTCGCAATCAGTTGAGCCGCCAAGGGGGGTATACGGGGGTTCCCCCGTTGGAGCGGTCGGTTTGCGATGCAGTTGTGTCCTAATATCACCTCCACCCAGCAGGGCGAACCGTGCCAGCCCTCCCAGGTCTGTAGGTACTCGTCTGGCCTGTCCGGCTATGCTTATACAGCCTGTGGAGAAGCTGCCTCCACCTTATATGCTACGGCGTTAATGCAGGTTCATCAGGCCAAGGCACTGAAGGACCTGCATGAGGGTGGTCACGATCCAGAAGTTCTGAAAGAGCTCCGAACCACTACTGACCTCGCGCTCCAAGCGACGAAGGTCACCGCGAGTTCTCTGGGTCATGCGATGTACACACTTGTGGTCCAGGAGCGCCATCTCTGGCTGTGTCTGGTCGATATGAGGGACACCGACAAAGTTCGATTCCTTAATGCCCCTGTGTCCCAGACCGGCCTCTTCGGCGATGCGGTCGAGAGCTTTGCCCAGCAGATCTCGGCTGCACAGAAGCAGACTGAGGTGATTCGACACATCCTGCCCCGGCAGGCAGCTGCTGCCTCCACCCGCCCGCCGGCCGCATCGCCCCAGCATGCTCGTCGCCGAGGGCGGGCCCCTGCGTCCGCCTCCGCTCCCGTGCAGCATCAGCAGCAGCCTCCACCCAAGCAGTGCGATGTACACACTTGTGGTCCAGGAGCGCCATCTCTGGCTGTGTCTGGTCGATATGAGGGACACCGACAAAGTTCGATTCCTTAATGCCCCTGTGTCCCAGACCGGCCTCTTCGGCGATGCATTCGAGAGCTTGGCCCAGCAGCTCTCGGCTGCACAGAAGCAGACTGAGGGGGTTCGTCACACCCTGCCCCGTCGGGCAGCTGCTGCCTCCACCCATCAGCCGGCCGCAGCGCCCCAACCTTTTGGTCGCTGAGGGCGGCCCCCTGCGTCTGCCCCTGCTCCCGCGCCTTTCACTGCCAGTTGTGTGAAAGGGGCGGGGCCTGCACAAGTATGTGTTTTCCCCAGTGAGCCTTCTCGCAAAGACACTGTGCAAGGTCAGGGAAGACAAGGAGGAGGTCCTGCTTGTCGCGCCGTATTGGCCCACTCGGACCTGGTTCCCGGAACTAATGCTCCTCGCGACAGCCCCTCCTTGACAGATTCCTCTGAGGAAGGATCTACTGACTCAGAGACAGGGCACCCTGTGGCACCCGCATCCAGACCTCTGGAAACTTCATGTCTGGTCCCTGGACGGGACGTGGAGGTTCTTGGTGACCTACCCCAAGAGGTAGTTGACACCATCACTTCGGCGAGAGCACCGTCTACGAGACACGCTTACGCCTTGAAGTGGAATCTGTTCATCGAGTGGTGTTCTTCTCGTCGAGAAGGCCCCCGGAGATGCCCGATCAGGGTCGTGCTTTCCTTTTTGCAGCAAGGTTTGGAGCGAAGGCTGTCTCCCTCCACCCTTAAAGTCTATGTCGCTGCGATTGCTTCTAACCATGACCCCGTGGATGGGAAGTTGGTAGGGAAGCATGACCTGGTCATAAGGTTCCTTAGGGTGGCGAGAAGGTTAAATCCTCCCCGGCCCCTCTCCATACCCTCTTGGGACCTGTCTCTGGTGCTTAAAACACTACAGCAGGGCCCATTTGGGCCTTTGCAGTCAGTTGAGCTAAAGTTTATTTCAATGAAAACTCTGCTCCTGCTTGCACTGGCCTCCATCAAGAGGGTAGGGGACCTGCACGCATTTTCGGTCGATGATTCGTGCCTAGAGTTTGGGCTGGCTGACTCCCAGCTAATCCTGAGGCCCGGCCCCGGCCCCGGCCCCGGCCCGGCTATGTGCCCAAGGTTCCCACTACTCCCTTCAGGAATCAGGTGGTGAGCCTGCAAGCGCTGTCCCCGGAGGAGGTAGACCCAGCCCTAGCTTTGCTCTGTCCCGTCCGAGCCTTGAGATGCTACGTAGACAGGACACAAAGACACGTAGACCTCAGACCAGCTCTTTGTCTTTTACGGAGGCTGGCAGAAGGGAAAGGCCGTCTCTTAGGGGTAGTGGCACTGAGAGGCCCCGGTTTAGTGTCTGCTTGCTAAAACTGCTCCTGAGTGTCCGTACTGTAGACCATCAAGCTCCTCCATCCCCTCGGCAGCCAGACGTGGCGGAACGTCCGGCGCCAGGCCTTCACTCGTTGAATCCTTGAGAACCGGTTGAAGGCTGGATTCCATATGTGAGACCTAAGTGAATCCCATATGTGTAAAGTCCACAGTATAGCCTCAGAGCCTGTGTTTCCCCGGCAGACTTCTGCCATTTCTAAGAGTGTTACAATCACCTCTATTCTTTCATATGCACCTAAACGGATGTTCATATGTGTAAGTGCTTCTGAAGCCTCCTTCGGGAATGATGAGGCTTCCGTAACATTCCTGTTCCAAGTGGAACGGGTACGTTTTCCCAGTGTTATCCAATCTCACTGAGTGGGTAGTGCTATGACAACAGTGACTGGTCTTCTTGTTGTGAGCCCCGTCCTACACCAAAAAGGGGTGCAAGAGGCTCGCACAAGATGGAAGGGGCAGCACCCATGGCACTTTGGTAGGGATCCCAATTCTTCGGTCACGACGTGACTCGTAGTGACCGACTGAAAGAGATCGTCTCGGTTACGTATGTAACCCTCGTTCCCTGAAGGAGGGAACGGAGACGTCACGTCCCGTCGCCACGGCTGCTGTGCAGACAGGTTACCGGCTTGGCTCATCAGCGAAAACCTGGTATGCATTGCACCTGCTGCCTTTTTGTGCTCACGCTGTGATCAGCAGCAGCTGGACGCAATAATCCCATGCCAATGTGCATTGGCTTGTTTAGTTTACACTCTAAACAAGCCAATGCCAAAGTAGATTGGTCTCTCTAAGCAAGATCCCAATTCATCGGTCACGACATGACGTCTTTGTTCCCTCCTTCAGGGAACGAGGGTTACATACGTAACCGAGACGTTTACATATATATATATATATATA